TGGAATACAAGAAGATAACACTGCAGTTGTAAAATTCAAACAAGCTCTAACCTCACGTGACATGTTCTTTAACGATGGACCGTTTCCGGTAAATGAATCGGGTGAGGACGCTTACATGAAGTGCTATGACACACCAGGAGCGTTGAACCACTGCCCTGAACGATGGAAAGCGTTGGAGAGATGGGTTAACTCGACGAAGGAAGTAAGCTGAACTTGATTCTCTAAAAGAGAAAGAGCTTGCATTGTTTTAGCTTTAGGTTTAATTTGAATCTCAGCATTTTTGTTATACTTTCCTCCACGTTCTTGTCACAATTATTAGTTTGTTAATATTCAGTCACAGCTTTCTGGCTAGCTCTCTTTGTAAGTTCAGCGCTTAATTTCCATCTTGTATTTCACCTTTGATAATGGTCTTGTAATAAGAACCGAAATATTACGTTTATTTATTTTGTCTCAATTCTTGCTTATACTTATACTTTACGTTAGCAAGATGTTTTTCGGAGATGTTTTTGTATTGTTATATTTGATTCTCTACTAATGATTAATTCTATTGTTCTTCTTTTGTTTCTTCTCTTTTTTCCACTTGTCGTCATACTGACTCTCCCTTGAACACTCTTAAGTTTAAAATCTATCACTTTTCATTTTATAACGAATTACCGGAAGTGTGTTTGGAATTTCGACAAGAGTTTTTTAACAGGCCAATCATGACACGTACCCGGGAATGCTGGGTTTTATAAATTAATTATTAACAATATCTCGATATAACGTACATTTCGGTATTTTTCCTCGAAAATTCTTTTAAATGGAGGTGTTCTATATAAAGAACCCTCAATATAACGGACAAAGATCCCTTGGCCAGTTCCTTGACACTTCGTTAAATCGAGGTTCCACTGTAGTAGAACGGGAGATATTTTAATGGCGGGCAGTCAAATGCATTGATCAGTCAAACTAATGCCTGGTGTCATCTTTACCTAGGTTGCAAAGCTTCTAAAACCAAAAATTAAATCACTATTTTACGGCACTGGACCTAAAAAGACAACGCCCGAATGTGGCATCTTCGTTAAAGGAGAATACAACCCGGATGTTTGTTTCCATGGTTACGAGGTGAATTTTGGTTGCGTTAAATCCGCGTATCAGACATTGCCATTCTTTATGGACAGTCATGGACCAAAGTACACGCAATATACCACAGTATCTCATGAGCAGTTACCAGGCCACCATCTGGAGGTAAGTGCTGGTAATTTCAAAAGTTCGCGTTTGTTTCTTGCAAAGTTAATTTCCGCGCCGTTAATTAAGTGAAGGGCTAAGACGGAATCCACCATGAAGTTGTGTAATTTTGATTTTCAGTGGACAAAAATCTTGTACCAGAAAAATTTAAAACATATTGCATTCCTTTTTACATTTTATGAACACCTAAAGATGTAATAAATCATCTGTAATAACACCAACGAAAATTTATCATGGGAGCCCGAGAAAATGAATGTCAAATCTCTCAAAATTACATCTTTCACATGAAACTTTCAGGGATTTACCTGTGTTTTCACAATTCTTGTGAAATTTGACATTCACTTTCTCGGACTCCCATGAGAAATTTTCTTTGGTGTTATTACAGATGACTAATTACATCTTTAGGCCTTAAAAATGTAAAAAAGAACGCAATATTCTGTAAATTATTCTGACTGGCACAAAATTTTAGTCCACTGAGAATCAAAATTATTCAATTTCCTGGTGGATTCCGTCTTAATTTCCGTGACCTTACCACTATTATTTTGGATACACATCTGACATTCTTGACACGTAAGAAAGAGGAGTGTTTTATCAGAGAGTGGAGATTCAAAGAAACAGTGAAACTGCGAAGAACCCTCGCAGTCGCCAGATTTCTTTGCTTGTCCCCCTTCATAAGTTTAGGGAAGGTACCTTAATTTATACCTTAATTTCATATAATAATGTACTAAGCTGATCTGACTTGAAATCTGTAAAATTACAGGTCCGAGGCTTCTCCGAGAATTTCGGTGATTCCTGCCGCGATGCTATTTCGTGGATTTCTGAAGAAAACTACCTGCCTTCATTCACAGAGGGCTGGGCGACGTACGTTGAATATCCACTGATGGTTGAAGACACAGATGCTTATTCCAACACGCAGGATAAACAAGTGTTATTACAAAAATATGGCATGTTGAAATATCAGGTGCGACACAGTTTTTGTAAAAAATTATGTTTACTCATTCACCAGGGTCAGGTTATTCAATACTGGGTTAAGATAACCTGAAGGGTTAGTGCGAATTTGAATTCCTAAAAGTCTTAAAAGAAAAGTCGGTTTAATTCTTTTTGTCTACAACTTGATGATAAGATGAGAAAATGCTTTTGAACGAAAGCAAACAAAAAACCAGATTGAAATTTAACCCTAGCTATTTGTCGTTGTTATTGTTGTTGTTAATAGGCCATTCGCACGCACACTGGCGTCATTTTACTACTACTACCAGAATCCTTTTCGTTTTATCTTTAATGATTAACTTTGGTAATCCCAGAGAGGTTCAAACAACAAAAGAAAGCAAAACCTTGAAGGATTCTGGTCATACTTAAACTGACGTCATCGTGCAAATGGCCTATTGAATTTATACTATCTACTTTTCCGGTAGAGGGAAGCGACGACTGGAAATACGTCGGCGTTCGCAGGCTAAATTAATTTATAACATAGCATTAAAACTCTTATTCATGAATTTTCACCATAGATTCTCGCGGCGTTGCGTTCTGTCTTAGACACTGGTATGAATTACTTCGGTATGACACGTCATGAGGCAATGGTGCTTTATGATCAATATGCTTGGGACAACAGTGACCTGGCCATCAAAGACATCACGCGGTACCAAAGCTCCCCTGGGACTGTAGTGAGCTATATGATTGGACAAGAGACATTCGCAAGGTTAAGAAAACAAGCTGAAAAAGAACTGGGATCGGACTTCTCACTGAAAGAGTTTCACTACCAAGTATTGCGTCAAGGAGAATTGCCCCTCAAGTACCTGGAGATTCACATTACGCGGTTTATAGCATGCAAGAAAGACTCTTCACGCCCAGGATGCGAGGAAATATTATCATAGTGTTCGCTTTTTAAACAACAAACAAACTAACATACTGTGCTTACTAAACCAAAAGGTTATTCATTTCTTTATGCATAAGAATAAATGGTCATTTTGGACTCTGCTGAATTAAGACAACTTTTTTGCACAAAAAAATTGGTGGTAAAAAGAAGCATTGATGCAAAATGGGAGCCAACAGAGAAGAAGAGAATCTTCATTCCAGGCCATTCTGAATAGCATGGTAAATTGAGTGACAACTCAGTACCAGAACCTACCAGACGGTCGCCTCAGTGCAAGGTAATCCGGATTTCGGAATGCGGGAAATATTTTCGCTGATGGAATCCAAAATCCTAGGCTTTAGGATCCAGGAATACAATTACAGCTCAAAAGGAATCTGAAATCTCACTTAAGTCTGGAGTAAAGAATCCAGGTATCAATGACAAAGACTAGAAGCCAGCACCTGGAATCCGGAGTACACGACGTGGAATGCAGAATCCAAGACTGTCCTGGATTCCCTTGCATGCCACGGTCTCGTCTAGTTTAAAATTAATTAATGCCCAGTCGTAAAGACTGGCACCTTGTACACCTTGTACTAATAACATTATAACCGGAACTTCAGGACACTACTACTCAGCAGATTTGAATTCATTCAAATGGTTACAATTCAGGATATCTTCAATAGACTCCGAGGACTCGAAGAACTACTTACCGATCCACTATAACGTCTGTAATTCTTAGTATCTCTATTTAAACGGCTCAATTATTTGTATATAGCTATCATTCAACTTAAGACGACCAAACCGCTTGTACTGCTTAAAAGACAAAGATAAAAAAAGAGCTATATACTTAATAGCTTTAGTCTATAGTTTGACTCTCCCCGTCAGTAAGAAATTAAAAACGACATCGATATAAGACTCTAAAACCAGCGGCTTTAGCTAGTATTCAAATAACCGGTCTTTCCGCAAAGAATTTAGTGAGCTTGTACAGAAAAGTATAGAGGTTTAAAAGAAATTGCGACATTCATTTGTGTGAGTCTCCCTTTGCTACCACATAAACGCGATAACCGTGCATGGTTCCTGTAAAAAGGCGTGGTACTGTATCAAAAAAGAATTGCCGTTGTATGAGTAAACTTCAGGGTTAAATCAAGACTTGGTAATAAATACCGCTGCCCTGTATGCTTAAAGTGCGAATTTTGATCTCTCAACATTGGAACTTTAATATTTAGCAGAATATGTATCTGAGAAATCATTGTCTTCATTATTTAGCATGCTGTATTTGAATTTAACCAGTTAGCTACTGTAAAATTCCGAAAATAAGTCCCTTCATTTATCAGCCCCTCCAAATATAAGCCCCCCAAACTCGTAACGCAAAAAACCTTCCGTTAAATCGCCCCTCCAAATAAAAGCCCTCCCGAAGAGGGGGGGGGGGGGGG